AATATTAAGCTCAATATTATGTAACTAGTTTTATATAATAATCTTAATAAAGGATCACCAGCAAGGTTGCCAAAGAGGAAAAAAAAAAAAAAAAAAAAAAAAAAAAGCATACAACATACTTCAATTAAGTCTTCTTATTTATCAACATGAATAATATTATAACATACACTTGTATTCATTTGCTTGTTTAGCATATTAGGAGTAAGAAACTTTTCTAATATTTTATCAACATTAAGAAAAAAACGATGATTCAACATCGGTAATCCAACAGTAGAAATAGCATTACGCTGTATTTCAAATTTCATCAAATGCTTGCTTTGATTAATAAGGTCATTAAGACTATTTAGTAAATCATATAAGGAAGTTAACCAATCAACTTTTTGATAAATATAAGAATTAATCGACTCAATTCTTTGGGTGCTTTGTGCATCTTCCATAAAATGATTATTAATCCAAGAAACGGTCTATAATTCCTTAGTAGAATATAATGTACTATTCAAATATTTTGTGCTAGCTAGATAATTATCTAACAATTCAGACTATTGATTTTCAAAAAGAGCTTCACATAAACTATTGTAGCAGCGGTAAAACTTTGAATAAAATACCTCAAAATTAGAACCTAATTTATCTTTTAATTTCCTTTTAAGATTTAAATCAATATAAAATATACATATTATATGTTTGGTAGCGGGATATATAGTTTTTAAAGCACTTATCATCGCTGAATCACTGTTAGTAAATATTGTTATAGGAACAATACCGGTTTCTTCAAGTAAAGTTGCATAAACCCACTAAAATGATTCTAATATTTTATCTTCAAGAAGACTACACGCTACTATCCTTGTTTTAAAATTATTATCAATTACTACAATAACGTATAACATCATTTAGAACCAATTCATATTTGATATGGTATTCATAAATATTATATCATGAAAATTTTCATATAATAATCTTTGAGATAGTGATATCCAAAACAGTGAATTCAACTTTCTTGATATTGAATCTAATTGTGGCTTAACAACCCATAATAGGTTTGATTCTTTTCAATTTAACAAAGTTTGAAATATCAAAGAAGCATCAAACTCTCCCAGATTATTATTTCAACAAAAATTGTAAACAGTATTGTACAAGTTATATTTATTTAAAGGCTAGGTGGGATAATCATATTTAATTAAAGGGTATATCGACGCAGAATTTAGACTGCCTTGAATTGTATACTTTTTAATGTTAGCTAGCATCTCAGGTGTTAATTTTCGAAACTGAAATGAAGTTTCATTGATCATAGTAGGAGTAAGAGGATGGTTGTATTTATTATCAAATGAATTAATTCTGATCTTATCAATTTTTTTTGAATAGGTAATATTTACTTTCCAAAAGTATTT